TGTTCAGTGAAGTTATCCGACTGAAAAATAAACTCCACCCATATTACTTCCTTTTTCATTACCAAACCATAATTACCAAATATTTCTACGTCCTCCAGCGAACAATTTTCAGTAAAATACTCAATATTGCAAAAAAGTACAGCTTCGGTCGTGCATACTTCGCGGCAACATGACGTCACTTTACAAATGGCTGGCAGGGAGGACATTTATTTATTTATATTTTGTATCCATGTATGCGTGTATGTATATATATATATTCTATACATATTATGTATAATGATTTATATTGTTTTTATATATCTAGAATCTACATATACTATGTATAATGGTTTATATTATTTGTTCATCTATTCACAATCTACCTCATGTTATGTAAAATTATCTATATTCTGTCTTTATATATATTAATAATCAACACATATACGATGAGCATATATTATATGTATACATACGATAGACACAATTACCATACTACATAAAGAATTTATCCATATAAATATATCCAAATAAATATACACATATATCACAATATATATATTACCATTCTCTTCTTGCATGCAATATATAACTTTGTTCTTTCTTGATCAGGATTTTAGATAAAAAATTATCAAATTGTTTGCGGTAAATAATAGCACAAATATACTTTTTTACCCCCCCCAAATTTGATGTTCTAAAGCGGTAATAAGTACGCTGAAAACTAATTTCATAATCTATTTACCGACAAATAAGAACATTAATCAACATTACTGGTCTTAGATACGAAATTAAACATATTTACGTACATATGTTTATTCATGAATTCATGTTTGTCTGTTACTCAGCACTCATTCTTTCTACTTCTCTGCTTATCAGTGTCCTGCCTATTCATCTATCTATCTGAGTAATAAGGTAGAGAAATAATAATAAATAATACGAGACAGAGAAAGATTCACAGCCACTGATTCACAGTTCGCAGTACTAATGCGCATTTAATAATAATGATGATAATGATAATAATAATATTAATAATGATAATAATAATAATAATGATGATGATAATAATTATAATAATGATAATAATGATGATGATAATAATAACAATGATGATAAAGATGATGATAATAATAACAATAATGATGATGATGATGATGATGATGATGATGATGATAATAATAATAATAACAATAATAATGCTATGTGAGCTTGATGTCAAGCACATTGATTTAACTATTAACCATTAATAATAATAATAATTATAATAGTAGTAGTAATAATAATAGTAATAGTAATAACAATAGTAGTAATAATATTATTAATAATAATAATAACAACAATAATAATTATCATTCATACTATCATACTATCATTATTATTATCACTATTATTATCATTATTATCATTATAACAATAACAACGAAGAACGCATAACAGCCTCAGCAGCAACCCCTCTCCCCCATCACTCCTCCCCTCCCCTCCCTCCTATCCAGCCTCCCTCCCCTCTCCTCCACTTCCCCTTCCTTTCTTTCCCTCCTCTTCCTTTTTCCTTCCTGTTTCTCCTTGCTATTCAGTCCCTACGCTTTCTTTCCCCGTTCCTTCCTCCCTTTTGCCTCCCTTCCCATCGCTCTCCTCTCCCCCTCCCTCCCCTTCCCCGCACCCTACGTTCGCCCTCCCCTCCCCTTTCCCTTTCCCCTCCCCTCCTCTTCCCCTCCCCCATTCTTCCCCTTCCCATTCCCCTCCCCCTACCCCCCCATTCCCCTCCCTCATTCTTCCCCTCCCCCTCCCAATACCCCTCCCCTTCCCCTTTCCCCTACCCTCCCCCTTCCCCTCCCCCTCCCCCTACCTATACCGTAGGAAGCGAACACGTCGTGAAAAGTAAAAAAAAAAAAAAAAATTATGGAAGTTACAGAAATAAGTGAAGAGACACCCCCCCCCTTCCAAAAAACAGTGATAATAAATAAAATAAAAAATAATAACAATAAAAATAAAAAATGAAAAAGCGAGCGAGGCAGCCGGGTCGAGAAAGACCTTTTTTTTCTTTTTTTTTTTTCCTTTTTGTAGCGTCGATGTGTCGCTTCCGTCGGCGGTGGCGGGGCCCGTCGTTTCTGCCTTTTTGTGTCTATCTGTTTGTCTGTCTGTTAATCTGTCTCTGTCTGTTTGCCTGTTTGTTTCATTGTTTGTTTGTCTGTCTGCCTGTCTCTGTCTGTCTGTGCCTCTCTGTCTGTCTGTCTGTCTCTAAGTCTGTCTGTGTATCTGTTTGTTTATCTGTCTTTCCGTCTGTCTACCTGCCTGCCTGTCTATCCGTCTGTCTGTCTATCCGTCTGTCTGCCTGCCTGTCTATCCGTCTGCCTGTCTATCCGTCTGTCTGCCTGCCTGTCTATCCGTCTGCCTGTGTATCTGTCTCTATCCCTCTCTATTCCTACGTAATTTGCATGTTCCCAAAATCGTAAATCGCTTATTGCGCTTTCTGCCACACATTTCTCTTCCCGATTGACAGTAAACATTTTCTTTCACTGGATAGAAACACGGAGTAAATTAAATTCTGAATAATTCGGATTTATCCCTTAATAACAGAGTGATATTTCAATGCATCTGAGAGTTGAATTGATAAAGCTC